GCTTGAAAATAGTTTACCTGAGAAAATGTCTGCTTTTCTTCTTGACTCTGAATCTTGAGTTCCTGTATTTGCTGCATCAATGAGTCTTTGAGGTATTCCATTTCTGTCTGCAGATATCATTTTATTATCAAACAGAGCTTAGATACAATCTAAAACARTGACAAATGCAGTGGGGTTTTACCTGGTGTTTGTCCTCTTCTTGTCTTCTCCATCTTTCATAATTGTTTTCCATTTCTTTAAGCTTTGACTGATCTGTAAGAACTTGATCTTTATCCTAATTTGGGAACAAAAACGAACTTATATAATTGATCAAATGTGTAAAGAAATTCATTGTTAAGATGACACCAGTTGTGTTTTTCATGCTTTTCTCCATATATCCTTTTCACTTTAATTCATTTATATGGACTTTCTTCAGCTCCATCTCCTATACATTTCATACATTTTCTCTACTCCTACCCTTCCACTCTTTTTCCCTCCCATTTTTATCTCAACATCCTTACCCGTGTAGACATCCTTTCTCTTGCRGCTCTTTCATTCATCAAATCTCTTTCAGTAGCATATAGCCTTTCTTTGATATGCTTCATCTCTTCCATCATTGCTAGCTTATCWGGGTCAACCTCTCCATTAGTTACATGTTTAGGGGAGACTTCAACAGGTTTTGTTACAAATCCATTCATGTGTGTGGTGTCAGTATCATGGCGGCGTGATAGATGTGCAGACAGGTACTCTTGACTGACAAATGCTTTGGCACAGTGAGGGCACTTYATCAAATAGATAACAGAAAAGATTATCTTGCAGACTCAAAAAAGTAAGCAACCAACAGAGAAATATCAAGAAGATACCTTATGAATGCCACTTGACCCGGCTCTCATCATCAACTGATACTCAGCTACCCATTTCTTTAGTCTTTTGTTTTCTTTCTTTAATTTATTCTGTGATTCTGTCTTTTGCTCAAGTTCTTTTCGCACCTCTTCTGCACTCTTTACCAAAAATAGATTTACAATGTTAACCTTTCTCAATGACTATCCTTGATATGAATTATAATTAATTGTTTTTGGATGGTGTTGGCATTAAAGAGTTAAGACTGGATGTTGTAATGCTGTGCGCAGTAAGACACTCACTTGGTGTTGGCATTAAAGAGTTAAGACTGAATGTTGTTATGCTGTGTGCAGTAAGACACTCACTTGGTGTTGGCATTAAAGAGTTAAGACTGGATGTTGTAATGCTGTGTGCAGTAAGACACTCACTTGCATAGTTTCTTGAACTTTTTTCACTTCTGTTTCGAGGTTACTAGAGAGATATTCCTGGGAATGCTAGAAAATAAAATTTAATATATTATTGAAAATAATGAAAATTAATGTCTAAATATTATCAAATGAAATCCTGATCAGGGAAGACGAGGCACTGAGAGATTAAGACGTCTCTCAACCTCAATCTCTGCATATTAGACTAGTGTTCTACCAACTGAGGTGGTTAATTCATCATAAACTTAAGTAATGAAATGAGTACGTACTA